TGCCCAGAGACAGCCGAGTGCAGGAGCAGCTCCTGTGCCAAGAGCAGCAGGGCTGCGGGCACTGCCTGCTGCTGTGGACAGCAGAGGAGAGAAGGCAGCGAGACGGGAACGGCAGTGTGGAGCGGGAGGACAGAGCAGAGCTCACTGAAGGAAGAAATCTTCACAACTGCTTGCGTGGTAAGTCTCTGGCTGCAGGGCAATGCTGCTGAGGTTCCTGGAGGGATCTTCTGAACCCATCCCACCCCATGACTGATAGGACTTCTCTCTCCTGGAGTATCCAGGGCATGGCAGAAGGAGCTGATCCAGCTCAGGGATTCCCTGATGCACCTTCACAGGGCAGGGCACACTGCTCCTTTCTTCCAGGTATCGCTGCAGGGGCGTCAAGTGCTGGGTGTGCACATAGGTGTCTCAGGTTTCTGAATCAGAGCAGCATCAGTGCATACCAAGGAACCCCGAGAGCAGTGACTCTGCTGCCTGCAAGGGTCAGTGCCGCAGGAGAAGCTCTGAGTGACAGGACTGGTTCCCAATCAGCCAGGATCATCTTCCTGTTGAGACTGTGCTGCCTCAGTCAAGTCTGCTCACCTTGTTCATGTACAGGACATGTCTGAGGAGTCTTTTCAAGAGGAAGGTCAAGAGAAGGGCTACTTCCAAGGGCAGGATCTTTCCTCCTCCTGCATTTTCAGTTGTCTCCCTAATTGCCGCAGGGAGAAAAGAGGAGTGTGTTCTGTTTTGCCAAGGAAGTGGGACTCAAGCCTTCCCTTTCAGAGATCAATAGGTCTGTGAGAAACTTTACAGAGACCCTTCAACCCACCTGAGCCTGCAGACAGCATTAGCATCACTTTTGTGGTGTTTATGATTCTTGCTTCTTACAAACTGCCTGCACAGCGATGCCCCTGGACAGTGCCCTGTCCCCAGAGGCCTGTGTAGGGCAGAACTAAGCACACAAAACTGATGTTCCCTGTGAGCACAGACAGGGAAAAAAATGTTGGGACAGAGTAAGGTGCCATCAGGGACTGCTGTGGGCAGCAGAGATGGTCAGGGAAGGAGAGGGAAATGCCCACCATGATGGGAGAATGGACTTGGGGAAGTCATGCTCAGTCCTTCCAATGCAGACACCTTCCTCTGAGCAAGCCCTGCCACGTCTCCTCTGCCCCCCAGCAGCCTCTCTGTGCTGACAGTCTTGGGGTCCAGGGTATCAGCCCACTCCACCACAGCCAGATCTCTAGCAGAGGACAGGGGCATCCCTCCTGCTATGGGCACATTTCCTGCTGCCC